TGCTTCATTATAAAAATTCTAAACAAAATAGGAATAGAAGCAAATTACCTTAACAGAGTAAAGTCATATATGACAAAACTACATTAACATTATGCTTACTGTGAAAAGCTGAAATCTTTTTCTCTAAATAAGGAACAAGGCAAGGATGTTCACTCTCACCACTTCAATACATATTGGAAGTGCTAGCAAGAACAATATGGTGAACTAACTAACTAAATAAATAAACAAATGGCTTCTAAATTGGAAAGAAGTAAAATTTCTTTGTTCACAGGTAATCTGATCTGACATATAGAAAACCCTGAACATTACAACAGATATATGTGTGCAAACACACACACACACACACACAGTTAGAACTAATAGACAAGATCAGGAAAGTTGCAGGCTAAAAACAACATATATAAATCAATTTTGTTTCTACATATTAACAATGAAAGAAAAGTAAGTTAAGAAAACAATCCCATTTATATCAGCATCAAAAAGAATAAAATACTTAGAAATAAACTTAACTGAGAGATGAAAGTTTTGTTCTCCAAAAACTAAAAAACACTGATGAATGAAATTAAAGACAAAAATAAGTAGAAAGATATCCTGAGGTCATGGGTTAGAAAACTTAATATTGTTAAAATGTCCATATTACCCAAAACAATGTACAGATTCAATGTAATTTCTATCAAAATCCCAATGGCATGTTTTACAGAAAAAGAGAAAATAATACAAAAATGTGGAATCTCACTGGAACTTAAGTAACCAAAAAAATCTTCAGAAAGAAAAATAAAGCTGAAAACATCACAAAGTTCTTGATTTTAAAATGTATTACAATGTAATTGAAATGATACAGTACTGACATGCAGAAAGATATATAGACCAACAGAATACAGAAGTAAACCTGTGCATATATCTTCAACTGTTCTTTAATAAGGGTGGAGAGAACACACAATGGAGAAATGATAGTCTTTTCAACAAATGATGATGAGAAACTTGGATCTACCATACACAAGAATCAACTCAGAATGGATTAAAGATTTAAACATAACACCTGAAACAGCAAAATAGAGGAAGAAAACAAAATAAGAAAACAAAACACTTCATGGGATTGGTTTTGGAAATAATTTCCTGAGTATAACACCAGAAGCACAGGAAGCAAAAGTAAAAAGATAGGTAATTGGGAATACAACGGAATGCATGTTTCTGTCAAGGACAGGTAGAATATTCTCCAGGTTAGATTCTATGTTACAGAATAGAACTAATCTCAAGTATAAACATTTTTGTTTATTTTTTTATTCCTTGGTATTTATAGGAGATTTTTAAATCTCTTATATTCTCATATATCTTTTTCTAGGCTCTTCCTTACCAGTTTTTTTGTTCTGACTTTCAACTCTTGCCTAGAATTATGTTATCCATACTTTTGCCTTTAAACATTTTCAACATTTGCCCAGGAAGATGATCTATCTCTGGGAGTGTTGTGATTTGGCAAATCAAAGCCCTTGTGCCTGTTTTTAGGGAATTTCTAGGCTGCTCAAAACTCATAACCACAGTTATTAGAGAATACCGTCTGTATTGCACCTTCTGACCATTTCCACACCAGCATTTTCTTACTGCAATGCAGCAATATTTTTCTTCACTAAGCCTTACCCTGGTTGTTGTACATTTTTATTTAGATTCCAGAGTTCCGCAGAAGTTGATGCTGACAAGGTTTGATAGCTTTTTAGTTGCCTTATTAGAAGTATGGGCCCTGGAGTTCCCTACTCCATTTTTTTTTTATGGTGACATTACTTACTATGTTCAATATATTTTAAAGTATAAACAATTTTTTGTTCCAATTGACAAATATTATTCTATTTTTTCTTATAATATCTGTTTTTAACTGTCTGTTTTCATAGTACTTTTTTAAGGGATGCTTACAGAGAACACATTCAAAGACAGATATTTCTAAAACATCAAAAGTCTGATGTGTTACCTTGCATCTTATAAGAGTAACTGGAAATATTTCATTAGAGGAAATGCCTATGAGAGAAAATGAGGAAGGAACTGGGTAAGGTTAATGTAAAGTTGACCCCATGTTAAATAGAGAAGAAAGAAAATTGGATAGAGTGATCCTAGGCTGCTAGGCAATCTAAGGAGAGTTCAGGAAGACTGACTGTGACTCTGAGCCAAAGTTGCCTGTCACAGGAAGAATATTGTATTTGTCTTTGACAAAAAGACACAAAAATCCAAACTATATATTATCCTTAATAATCAACTTTTCACTCTCACTTATAGTTGAGCCATGGTTTAAATATTACAAAAAAAAAAAAAATAAGGTTAGGTCAGAAAGAAGAAAAGAAAACTTATGAGTAGCCTGCTGATTAACCAAGAACAATTCTGTATTTGCCTGTTTCTTGGAGAAACGTGATGGCATGCTCCTTGGGCACACATCGTAACTATTCTTAGTGTCAGGATTTACTCAACAATCATCTAGAGAGTATCGATAGCATTGCTATGATGACATGCTCAAGTAATCTCTCAAAAATAATAATTAATGGAAATGAGTGTAGTAATGGGATTTTTGTAGTAATGGACAGGGAAGGAACAAATATGATTTAAATAAATTGAATCAAATTCTTAACATGTTGTAACAAGAATGTATTAACTGCTTACTTGTCATTAATGGATTTCGTCAGCAGGATCGTTGCTAAACTATTTCTTGGCCCTACTTTGGCTTTCTCCTTCAAGTTCATACTTTTAATAGAGAAAAAAGGGATATTCATCTAAAAAGTCAGAAAAAGGTATAGTATCTTTATTGTAATAAAATGTAATACAGTAGTATACATAACTATATATTAACAAAGTAAAATATGAAAAAGTATATTAAATTTTATCACAATACGTTTAAATTGCATGTTTAAATGTATAATTTCATCGAACAAAATACGGCATGCATATATTATTGTTTTTTACGTAAAATTATAAAATAAGTATATATTAAATATCCATCAATATATTAACATATCATATAATCTTTACATATGAATGCATGTTTACTTACATAAAAATATAATTCTATATCATAAATGTTAAAAATTGGTTATGTAATAAATGTGGTATATCAAAATGCATTTTGTAATGTATGATTTAATGTAATATATAGAATTAATATGCATTTTTTATGAACATAGACATATTTATTTTGACAGCTACATTTTCACACTTTTTAGCAACTATTGGAATTAGATTAATGAAAGAACATTTAAATGTTTGCCAGTAAGCTTGCTGAGACAGCCTCTTTGTTCTCTTTTTTGCTCAAGGAACATATACTGCCATTCACATGTGCATGGTTTTCAAGTGAGCACTGGAAGTTTACACTTTCACACACTTACTACATAAAGTGATCATGTAAAAAGACTTTTTAGTGCTTTATATTAATAAGCTAAATTTATGTTTAAATGAATAAAGTAATAAAATACTGGATTTTACTAATTTTTTATGGCAGTTTTGGTCCACTAAAACACTATCTTCATTGGATATGCTGTATGATATTTGTGGCACTAAATAACTTTTTTCCATCTCCAAACATTTTACCTTAGAAGATTTTTTTTTTTACTGTTTCTGGTTGCAAAAACAATTTGGTTCACATATTACTATATCACTCTTTGATCTCTCCGCTTCATGCCATTCTTAAATTTAGTGAACAGGTGATGATATTTTCTACCTAATAATTGGTTAAAAATATATATATATATAGGGAGGAGAACAGGTATATAGGTGCTTTAAATTGGCAAAATAAATTATTCCAAAAAATAGCATTTTGAGTGATTATGGTGTGCCAAATCCAATACTGAGTTTTCCAGATAATATTTGCAAAATCTCACAACAATGCCACTGGTTAATATTATTAGAATCCTTTTTCATAAATAATAAAACTAAGGCATAGGAAAATAAAGTACTTTGGCTAAGACAAAATATTTAGGTGGTGGCATAGTAAGGATTCAATTATCAGCAACTGGGTTCCAAAGTTGGTATTATTATTATTATGCTATGTTGACATGATCATCAATAATATTCCTAATTACAGTATCACTTATAGCACATGTTTGCCCTCTTTTTTGAAATCAAATTATGAGAAAATTCTTAGATCATGTGCTGAAATGTAGAAAAATATCTACATTGTCATGTATCCCTCTTAGTTGTTTGCATAAGGTGTAAACTAATATGCTCTCTAATAACTTTTGAAAAGGGTAGAAATAGATGAATAAGCCAATGAATCCAAAGCATGGAGGCTCAATGCATGACTTTGAAATCAGATTTCTTGGTTTGGTTTAGAAGTTAATCTGGCATGTCTTATTTTTCAGGGGCTTATGAAAGCTTCTTTTCCTCTGTTCCTATTCTTAAATCATGCTTTCATAGTCCCAGCCACAAATATCCACTGACAATATCTATCATTTAAATATGTAATTTCCTCCATTTTTTAAAACCAGGATATTTATCTATTGCTAGTTTTCCAGCAACTTGTCTATTCTCTGTAATTCTTCCAACATCATGAAGAACAGTTCAATAATTTTAACTTAAGCTTTCTCAGTAGTCTGAGAAATAGCTCATTTGGGCCAGGAGACAAACTCATTTAGAGCAGTTACCTGGTTTCATACTATCTCTTCACTTGTATGAGGCTTCAATTCCCTCTTTCAATAGTTAGGTCTGAGTTTCTTCCTGATGCTCATTCCTTTTGACAGAAAAGATGGAGGCAAAATAGTTGAGTAATTCTACTTTCCATTATCTGCTAAGGTGACAACATGAGCTCTGAACAGCAGACCTGATCTTTCCATTATCTTTCTTTCTTTTGTTTTTGTGTTACAATTTTTTAAAGTTTTTTTTTATGTCAGTATTTCATTTAATATAGTTTAATAAGTACTGAGCACCTGATGTTATAGGGCAGAAAGTCTTCATACCTGATTGTGACATCATAGAGCATGTCTTGAGTAAACATTCTGTAAGTTGAAAAGTTCAATTAAAAGGAAATATGTGATATTTGAAGACATGTACAGGAGGAAGTGACTGAGTTTAGTAGGGGAATCTGGAAGACTTCAAAGAGGAGGTGAGTTTTGAATTAGAACTGGAAACTAGTTTTTCCATGTTTTCCCTATTTTATGTATGTTTTGGCTTTTCAGAGTCAAAACATACATAAAATATTCTTTTTTTCCCCATTTGTTTCACCTTGGCTATAACGTGTAATAATAATCCCTGTTTATATACTTATTTTTACTTTTTATTAGAATCTAAACTGTCTTCACGTTTCAGGGCTTCTTGACTTTTTCCCCTCTTCTGTTTAGATCTATGGTATCTAAGATTAAGGATTCATTCTTAGCAGCAACCTCAATGCTCTTGTCCTTTTGTCCATCTGATAAACCTTTGAGCAAAATCCACACTGGAGGAGTCCAAAATGGACTTATTATGCTGGGAAGAAAATTCCACTACTGGGCAGATTGCTGACAATAAATTTATGCACACCATGGTTTCAGTTTGTGAGGGGTGCCTTAACAAAGTAGTACAAACTGAGGGGCTTAAACAATAGAAATTCCTTGTCTTGAGTTTTGGAGCACAGAAGGTATCAACAGGATACCTTCTGGACTGTGAGGGAAAGGTCTCCAGACCTCTCTCCTTGGCTTTGGATTGGAGAAGGCTCTCTTCTCCCAAAGTGTCTTCATGTCATCTTTCTTTTATGCATATATTTCTCTCTGTCAAATTTTTTCTTCTTTATAAGAATGCCACGTATATTAGTTTAGGGCCCACACTAATGACATTATTTAACTTGAATATCTGTATAAAGGCCTATCTCCAAATAAAATAATATTCTAAGGTACTGGTGGTAAAGACTACAACATATTTTGGGGGGGGGGGGCGACATAATTCAACCCCTACAAGCAACCTCAATAATTTTCCTGGTAACTATGTTTATCAGTATTCCAATAATTTCCCACTGCATCAAAAATATTTCACATCTTTCTTCTCATTTTAAAACGTAGGGCCCTGCCTCAGAGCCATTATGTCATTTTAGCAGATTCTCTGTATACATGCTTCATAGAAAACAAATACATTAAAAAAGTAGTAATCAGGAGAAAAGATCAAATAGACACACATATATGTATCTATCATCAGTCTCTTTCTCCTATAATTTTTATATTAAAAATATGGATGTGTTTCTTCTGCTACCTAGTAATAACCTATCTAGCTGAGCTCTAAATATATTTTCTTTTTCACATTTCACAAATTCTGTGCTCTTGATTATATTCAAATTTTCTATTTTTATTTTCTACTGCCTTTTCCCTGTCAACAAGTAAACATGCTCTAGTCACTTTCTTATTCAAACAAATAAAACCTATTATTCAACTAGATGTTTTTGGTCATTTTTATTATTTCACCATCTCTCAGTTGTTATCCAGACAACCCCAACCTGAACTCCCTATGCACGACTTCTCGTAACTCCCTAAAATTTTCAGTGACCTCTGTGTTGCTGAATCCTGTTCTCAGCCTTTCAACATTGTTCAGTATAGCTTATTGCTCCATCATGATAGCACTTTTACCTTTTGCCTTTTTGATCAGACATAGCTGTGGTTTTCTTCAAACTTTCTGATCACTTTTCACTTTGAATTCTTGTTTTCTAACTAACCATAAATATTGAAATATTTTCCAGTATTTTTCCTTAGGTCTTTTGTGGCTTCTTTAGACTCTTACTGATAGCAGGGGGGGTGACGCATCCTGTTCCCTCCATGGCTGCAGCTGCCTTCAATATGTCAACTGTAACTTTCGGCCTGGAACTTTATTAACCCTCTTGTGGGATATATGCTGGAGTATTATCCACCCATTTAATGAGTATTTCAAAGGTTATGTGTAGAGAACTTTAATTAGCTACTCTGCAAAGCATAAACCTCTTCCTCTATTTCTCATCGCAGTCAACGGCACTGCGCTCAAGTACCCCATTGCTCAAGTAGAATTTATTTAAGACTCTATTAGGCAAAATTAGTTTGCCTGATCTTGTATCCCTTTAGCATTGCAGGGGAATACACTCCATACAGAGTTATTTTGTTCATTGTGAAGCAAGAATAGGGGAAATTTAGGCAAGTTCCAAAAAAACACTGCTTAAGTTTCTAAGCAGTATCTTTTTGGAACCCATTTGGATAAGTGTTATTAGATCAGTGAATATAGCTACAGGGCAAATTTCTGTGTCTCTTCAGAGATCATCTTAAAAGGCAATTAATAGTGTAGCCACTACAAAGTGGGTATTTCCTAACCCCATTCTCTTTTTAATTGTCCTGCAGTTGTACTTCTGAAATAAAGCATCAACAATTTAATCTGCTTCAGACTCTGTTTTCAAAAGAACCTGTGGTAAGACATCTTCCTATCTCCTCATATTAAATATTGTTCTTTGGCCTCCTAAGAACTGAATCCATCTGCTTGTCTCTTTTTCGACCAATATTACTCTAGTTGAAAATATCACCTTTGCTTGTGAAGGATATTACAATGGATTTCTCACAGCTTCCCATGCTTTTAACATTCTGTTAAGTATTTCCCAGAATACAATTAGAATGACCTTAGAAAATCTCGAAACATGGACACAGGGAGGGGAGCATCACACACTGGGGTCTGTAGGGGGGAGCTAGGGGAGGGACAGTGGGGGTACAGAGTTGGGGAGGGATAACCTGGGGAGAAATGCCAGATATAGGTGATGGGGAGGAAGGCAGAAAACCACATTGCCATGTATGTACCTATACAACAATGCAACAATCTTGCATGTTCTTCACATATACCCCAAAACCTAAAATGCAATAAAATATATATATTAAAAAGCAAACCTCGACACCTCAAATTTGAGGCTACTCCTAATACTTGTCAAAGGCTTCCCATTGCAATTAAAAGTCCAAACATCTTTAGAACTACCTACAGCAAGACTTGCAAAATCTTTTCTCTGCCATCTTTGCTTCCTTCTTTTTGTAGCATTTGATCTTTTTCTTACAACTACATTCCATCCATATTGGTCTCTCATAGATTCCTCAAAATGGTATATTCCTTTGTTTTTTCTATTTCAATATTTTCTTTCTGGAACAGCTGTCTCATCTCCTCTCCTCTCCCTCATCATACCACATCTAACTCTTTATCATACTTTATGTATTTGTTCAAATATAACTTTTACAGGGTTGCCTCACATAATATTCCTGTTAGAATATCCAGTAAGAGCTAAAAGGATTCTTGAATCTCAAGATTTCTCAAGCTCACAGAAGAGTTCTCTTTGTATTGATATCAACCTCTCTCTTTCTTATTGGCCTTTTTAAGTTTGTATTTAATTCTCTCTTGACTATCTTTGTAGGGTTAGGAAAGTATCTTACTTCAGTGATGTCCGAAATTCCTTTCTCTGATTTTTCACAGGCTCTAAAATGACATTGTCACATTCTCAATTGTTCTCACTTCAACCTAATCAAGAGATTTTCTCTTGATATTAATAGTCAATAGAAGCATTTTGGTCTAGTGCTCTTTCTGCCTTCTGAGAAATTAAATGACCTCTTACTACATATTTTAGAATCAGAAAAAAAGGTTTATTATCTTCTTTCATCTATTAGAATATTACGTCTATAAAATCATTTTACAGTGATTTAAAAAACACCTTTACATGTCAATCTGATGGCATCAAGAGACACTGAAACATTTATTTGGATGCTATAAACTTTATTGTTCTTAAAAGGTCAGATAAAGAAAGTGCATATAAAAAAAGTTAATATGTTATGAAGCTGACAAAGGAATACAGCAGCAAGCGAGTGAAAGATTTAAAACAGCTTTGGTTTGGAACTGCAATCCCTAGGTGGTCTAATTTGAGCAGAACATTGCCACAAGGCACAGGACCCTGGCATTGTCAGAACCTACTCAAGTCATCTGCCATTTTGTCAGATGGAGGAGCTTCCCCACCTCGTAGATGAAGCTCATCACAGCCTTGACAACACTGGTTTCCACATCATTAGTTTCCATTTGATTCTATAGCAACAAAATAAGAGAAAATTAATTATAGTAGATGCTGGAAACCAAATAGTGGAATTAAAATCCCAGCATTCTCATTTAATGGCCAGGAAACAAATTACACTATTACAGCAGAACAGCTTTTTTCACCTCCTGTGCTGGTTTCTGTATTTTGTACAAAATGTGAAGCTTATACTCTGAAATAAACGACTTTATTAAAAATGAATCCTGGAACTTTACTGTGGAAAATTCAGTCAGTGATTGTCTCCAGTGTGTGAAGGAAGAACCCACTTATACATTTTTGGGAAAATACTACTTACCTCCCTCTGTTTGCTTAGTAAATGGAGTAACATTTTTTACTTCAAAATTATCTCTTCCATGGACTCAAGCTGGTGAGACAGACTGGCAAACATTGGCATCATTAAATGGATTATGCATTCCATTCCAGTTTCACTCTGAGGCTGATTAAAAGAGGGAAGTATAAACAGATCCCATTTTAAGTGGAGCTGATCCAAATTGCTGTCTCAGACTAAGGTCAGAATCAGAAAGGGCTTGAAAGGGAAAGGCTGTAGGTACATGTTAGGTACATAACATGACTAAAGAATGTCTTTCAGCAGAGATGAATCCTAATTCTTCCAACATAACAATGAAGCTGCAAAAGAATAACTCTTTCACAAAGTACTTTATATTAATGCCTGGTTTTCATTTCCTACCCATCATTCCCTAATAACATTCTACATTAAGAAACTGCATTATAAACTTTATTAGCAATTTCGAAACAGAGTATGCTAAATGGCAAATAATATCCTCAAAATATTTTTGAGTTTGCCCCATTTTTTTTCTAGTTTTATCTTCAGTAGAAAACATATCGTTTTCCAAATGCTTACTCTTGAGGTCTCTCTCTGGAGAGTGGCTATATATTCCATCTCTGCCAGGGTTCCAGGAGAGATGGTTGTAGATGGTTACAGTGTGTCTCTCATAGGATACTTCTTTATCCAGGTTGATGTTCTAGTGCCTAAGTTTCTGATCTGTAATCAGGTGTCCCTCTCAGAAATTTATTTACACTGGCAGATACCCTATGGCTCTTGTCTGACCCGTGTCCAGCTTATTCCTACTCAGATAGCTACTCTCTGGGAGAGCCCTGATGGGGAAAATAGTTAGATTTAAGCATATCAGTTAGATGAGACACAGAGGAAGAAGCATGCCGAAACACATGAAATTAGAGAGACATCTTTTTTATAATACTTGCTTATAAAAAAATTGTCTTATAAATTGACAATTTATAATTGTGTATGTTTTGGGGGTACAAGGTGATATGTCTTCTAAGCACAATGTGAAATAATTCAATCAACCTCAAATATTTATCATTTTGTTCTTTTGAGAACATTTGAAATTTGCTCTTCTAGTAATATTAAATTGTACAATATACTAATATAAACTGTATTTACCCACTGTACAAAAGATCTCAAAGAAAACTAACTTATTCCTCCTTTTAAACTGAGATTTTTGCACCCTTTGTCTATCATCTCCACATTTCCCCAAATACCCTCCTCTGAATCCATCATTCTACCCTCTGAGGAAGCATTTTTTAATACAGTTCCCAGAAAGAGGGCAGCACGTTTTACAGGGCCATGTGGAAGGGGGAAATCATTTAGAACATGTGTGCCCACCAGTAGGTGAGGAGCAAAAATGGGGAGAAGAAGGGAGGGATCTGAGGCCAAGTGTCTTTGATGGTGTCTAGGGTATTACCCAAGCAGGTTTCTCTGCAGGGAGTTCTAATTGGTAAGTCAGTAGCAAGCAGGTACAAGTTCCATGGAATCATGATGTCACAGAGAAATGGTCACTATACCATATCTGTGCAGTTGATGCAGGATGCGGGGCTCGGTAGGAGTCTCAATTATGTTGTATCCAGCTTCCTGTAGGGAGATGGTCACCAGGAGGTGGCTGTATAAGGCAGACGTGGATATACCATCTTGAGGAACTGGGAGGAGGTGGAGAGCCAAAAACCGTGTCAAAGATGACTAAGCCCTGTTTCTTGCATAAGAAAGTTCAACTTACATTCAAAATAAATGCTGAGGAAAAATAAAGTTATTACATTTCACAACAGGTTTATAGACAGGCAAATAGATAGAAATAGTATATAGCATCTGACTTTCAGATACTATAATGTAAAGCACCACATAAAAACCTGAAAAAATATATTCGGTTTCTAAATGGCCTCTTTTGTCATTACCTATCATTTTTTAATTTCTTTTTTTCCTTCTGTCTTTTCTACTATATTATTTACTTTCCAGATGTGTGTCTAGTGTATACAGTCTACATAGCTTGATTATATTGGGATAAATGTAGCTACTGCTTTGTGACTTCCTGAAGATATTTCTGTTGAAGATCAGCTATCCAGTGTTTCCTTCTCTCTCTCTTTTTTTAACTTTCATCTATTTAATAAAAACCTGTTTTTTTTGTTTTGTTTTTTTGTTTTTTCTGGTGTTGTGAAGATGAAGACAAGGAAAAGCATAGGAATTACTTCTTGCATTTCTTATGATTATTGTATCAATATTTACCTCATGAATGATTCTGAGACACGTTTACCTACATCCAAGACACAGGTCACCTTACTTAATTCACACAAATAGATATTTAAAGCCAAGTATTTTCAGTTTAACTACAAAATGTTAAGATTATAATTTTAATGATTTTATGACTATAGTATAGAGTAAAAGAGTGAAAAACATTTAAATTGGAGAACTTAGGATTGTGTTACCTTGTTGCGATAGCATACAGTTTGAGGGAAATGGGTTTGGTGCTGTGTAAAATTTGTTATGTAATGTTCAAAATAGGCACTGAATTCAGAATAGTATATCCATTTAACAAATTGATTTTCACAATAACCTTGCCAAGTATGAATAGTTATTCTCAAGTTCAAGACAGAGAAGTTAGCAACTTATCAATTATCAGTTATTAGTCATTCTTACATTACTGCATCCTTACTAAACAACAATATTGTTGGCAAATTGTTTTATAGGAGAACATTCTCAGTTTTTCCAAATTAAGAATTATTTGTGACTTATTTTTCCCCAAGACACACACAAATGTTAGTAAGCTATGACTAAAGTATGATATTGTAGAGCCATAAATTCAGTTTGGTCCATTGCCCATTGATGTTTTACACTGACCCTCTTACTTCCAAGCAAAGATGCAATTTAGGGAGAATAACCACAGATAACCTTCCTGGGGAAGACTTAAATATTAGCTATTCTTCTCGAGAACTACACAGCTTGTGATTAGATTAATGGTAACCCTGATGAAACCCAGATGATTCAAATGAACTCTGAGTATAAGACTCTATAAAAACAGCCAGGCACCACTGAGTGTGACTTGAG